TAAAATGAAGACACGTTTTTTTATTCATCATAATTTTAAACCACAATATACTGCAAATAGTTCTTACACAAATCAATACACTGCTCATTCATTTGATTGACATTTTGACATAATGGGATTGTGATCATAATTCTATCTTCAAACACCCCAAGTTGGGGTCAAGCCATCAGCCATCTTAACTTCCCCACTAAAACTTTACTAAAACTTTAAACCCTAGTGAGTTTTATGATTTTATTGCTGCAGAAAAATGGCACATGACAGTGCATAGATCATGGTCATGGACACCCCCTGCCCTGATAAGAGCAATTCAGTGTGTGTAACTCAATTACAGAAGCTTTGCATTTTATTTTTTACTTCATCATTTATCAAAAGGACATATAAACAATTTACATATTTAAACAATTACAAATATAAATAGCATTAAAAAAGGATGATTAAACTTCAGTTTAACTGAAGATCTTCTTCTGCTTTTCAGCGATTTCCATCGGTGATATAGCCTCCTCATTCATGCCTTTGTAGAGAGGATGTTTAATATGCCTCCATATAACCAGCAATACTTTGATCGCAAATAGTGTACAAGCCAACCCCAGTAAAGCAGCTGTGGAATACAACAAAATATTGTTTTCATGAAATGCTGGCACTACAGATTAAGAACACAACAGCAAAACCAGTATCACATTCAGGCTCACCTATGTAAATTCCATTGCGGCTTGGATCTGCAGAGTTAAAGTTCTTCGTCATGTTTCCACTCAAAGCCACAATGACAACAGGATAGACTGTCAGAATGTATCGCAGGTGCTTTTCAAACACAAAGTTCTCAACAATGAACCTGTAAAATAATAATGCATTATTTCAAGATTAATGTCTTTCATTTATTTAACATCCTTCATTTATTTGAGTTCGATGGTCTCACCAAGAAATAGCTTCACCCAAAAGAACAGAGAGAGAGACTGTTGCTGCATCTGACTGGGTCATTCCAGCATCATATCTCAGCACAACAGTAAAGTTAATCAGAGTGGCAATAGTTGTCCATGTTGTGTATGTTGCAATTCCATTCTGAACCTGCAAGATTGAAGATGCAAAATTAAAAATGCATAATGTTTTTAAAATGGGTTGAGATGCTATTAAGTAAAATTGTAATGGTCTCTCACCAATATCCGAATGCACCAGAGGTCTACTTTGTGATATTTGTTTAACCAGGCTCCATATAATATTTTATATATTATATCTATATTATATCTATTTTATTATATTTATATCTTTCAGAAATTATTATATATTGCTGAATCATTTCTTATTATCAACATTATTATTGCTTTTTGTGGAAACGGTAATAAAACCATAATCTTTGATGAACAGAAACAGCATTTATTTATTTATTATTTATTTATATTTAAAAATAAGAGCAAAAAAAGCTAAAACGTTGATAAAAAAATAAATGTTTCTTAAACAGCACATTAGAATGATTTCTGAAAGATCATGTGACACTGAAGACGGCAGTAATGGCAGCTGATAATTCAGCTTTGCCATCACAGGAATAAATAATATTTTAAAATACACTAAAATTTAAAATAGTTATTTAAAATTGTAATAATATTGCACAATATTACTGTTTTTCATCAAATAAATGCAGCCATAAGAAACCAATAACATTTAAAAATCTTTATTACTACAAATTTTTGGCTGCCACTGTATATCAGAATTGTCTTTAAAATGACATAGACTTACTCTCTGTCCCACAGGAGAAGCCAGCCTATATTCAGTATCATGTTTACAATCCAGGTTATGAAGAATCCATACGGCAACACAGCGGGACAGTACATTGGACCATAAACAGTCCTGTGAGAACAATATACATAAACGTCTCATTAACTGCAGCATGTTATTATTACAAAATCACATTTCATACCACTTTTTTTTTTTGATTGCCATTTGATTCTAGCTCACTGAGTTCATACCTCCTGCAGGTAGTGGAAAGGATGTAAATGTGCATGACCGACAGCCAGGTGTAGATGACACCCCAGATTGAGAAGGTCCATCCCGAGGGAGTGATTTCTGTATTGTATTTATCTGATATTGCTCCAGTGTTGTTCCGAAAAGGACCTACGAAGAGGAAAAAACAACACTGTAGCAATATATTTAACCAAAATGTAATTCTGCACCTAATTCACACTGGAAACAGTGTTACATTTATCTGCTGTACATACCAATTCCCGGTCCAGCAAGTGCATTGAATATGATGCAGATGATGAATATGACAACAGAAAGGACTATGAGTGCTAAACGGGCAATGCTGTGACCTCCCATTGTGAGCAGCTGAAATAAAGAGAATGTTTTGCTTGCTGTTGTCTGAAAATATATATATCAGCTCAAAACAGAAGCACCCTCACACATGCATTATTAGTAATAAGTAAACAAAACATAAAGACACAAAACTTGTATTTTACCTACGTCTAAAACCAATTCCAGAGTCTGAAAACAAGCGCTGAAGAGAGAAGGAAGTTACCGTAACACCCTGAAGACTGAATAACACAAACTACACAGCTGGGATTGGTTTTATAAGTGTGCAGGTTGTGTAACTGTACGACTACGTGCTGAGTGTGACATTCAAATACAGGCATACATTGGTTGTCAACCAAACTTCTGATGGTCATGAAAAAGCCTTACACAACTGACTGATCTCACTCTGAAGTAACAAAAATTTGAAGTAGATGGTATAGAGGGTTTTTTAAATAGTTTCTGTATTTCTGTAGTTGTTTTTTTAAAGGTTTCTAACTACACTTTGATAACATGGCACAGTCATTAACCTTGTTATATTGTCTTTAACAGTAATGGGAGTAAATGTATAACACATGGATGAAGCATATATCTATTATAAAATTATATATTTGAACGTGTTGAAGGAGTGACATTGCCATTTATATCAATTTGAACAAAACAGGTTTACAATCATGTTTTTTCAGGGTTGCTTAACCTGTTATACATTTTGCATACATTTTTTCATCTTAAAGATTTGCAGATTACCTTAGAGAACCTTGATTAACTGGTTTGTGTGTTTGGTTTCATTCAAATGTACTTAACAATTTAAAGTGTTCATATGATGTTGCTAAAAAGAACATTATTTGGTGTATTTGGTGTAATGAAATGTGTTTAAGCGGTTTAAGGTTCAAAAAACATTTTGTTTGTTCTCTATGCCCCACCTTTCTGAAACGCGTCGATTTACAAAGCTCATCGGTCTGAAAAGTGAGGTGTGCTCTGATTGGCCAGCTATCCAGTGCGTTGTGATTGGCTGAATACCTCAAGCGTGTGATGGAAATGTTACACCCCTTACCATACTGTGATGCCCTGTGTCCCGGCCAGAGCGACGAGATAAAAACTTTAAAACCCATTATAAACGAGGCATTTGTTGCATCCAGTGGGGACATAATTACGGATTATAATGACTTATACTGTCTTTTTACGCGTTGCGTTGCATCGTGCCGCGTAAACATAAAACCATGTCTGCATTTGTGATCGGAGAAACGACAAACAACAAGCGCTACTCTACACTGCTCAAAACTCGCGTTTGAATCGTCAGTGGCAAATCCTTTAAATATGAAAACTTACTTACAGGCTGTGAGTCAGAACAGCCGGCATGGTAGTCTACTCTGCCAGGAAACAGTCCTTAAAACAGTCCATAAAATGCGCTGCACACATCTGAATATTTTGGGTTGAACTGTTCTGGAACAGTGTTGTAAATACAACTTAACCACTGATTTCTAGTCGTGTCCTCTTTTGGAAGATCCAAAGTGCACACACACCAGTGAACACACACACACACCCGGAGCAGTGGGCAGCTATTTTTGTTGCGGCGCCCGGGGAGCAGTTGGGGGTTCGGTGCCTTGCTCAAGGGCACCTCAGTCGTGGTATTGAAGGTGGGAGAGAGCGCTGTACATTCACTCCCCCCACCTACAATCCCTGCCGGTAAGAGACTCGACCCCGCAACCTTTGAATTACGAGTCCGACTCTCTAACCATTGGGCCACGACTTCCCCGATATCATCCTCTTTTGGAAGACCAAACAAAGTAGTTTCGCTTTCACAACGAAACACACAGCGCCTTCACGACACATGTGATGACCCCAGGCTGGATTCCGCTTCGTCCACAGTGAAAGCCGATCCGGCGACCAGCACGGATCAGCTCTAGGCATGACGAAGAGGATATCATCCTCTTTTGGAAGGCCAAACAAAGTAGTTTCGCTTTCACAACGAAACACACAGCG